TTATCTTATGTTATAGCATTATACATGCTATGTCAAATTATGTTATTTGCTCACTGTTCCTATTAGAACACATGCTTCATGAAGGGAGATAGCTTATCTGCTTTGTTCACAGTTATACTGATACCACTTAAAACAATGTGTCCTATATATGAATTAACAAATATCTGTATTCTGTAAACCACAGATCCCTTTACATGTGTTTAACGTGAACACTCTATAGCAGCCGTTTCATTTGTCCATCTGGAGTTATCTTGGGATTCTCCCACTGCGAAAGTTTTAGCCTAGCATGCATTTTCAAAAACAGTATTAACTCCTGAGGAAATAAGTAAACAAATTACATAATGATTCGAAGCCAAACTTAGGCCTTTTTTTTCTTATGATACTTTATAGCCATTTTTTTTTCAACTGCAATTATTTCACTTAAATTAATGTCTAAAAATAGCTCCCTGAATTCCACAGTGTAAGTGGTAACAGAGAGGGAGGGCAAGATGTGTTGGTTCTTGACAAACACCAACGGAAAATGTAATTAGAGGTGCTAGCTGGGTAAAGAGAGTCGGACCAAGAAGCCACCTCAGAAATCATTGCTAAATAAAATGGACTTGCTCACAACACTGAGCTGAAAATCAAGGGTTCAGGTTCAGCAAACATTTATCTAGTGCCTCCTAATGGCAATGGCCAGTGCTAGATGCTAAAGGAATGAAATGAGAAATAAAACACAGATCCTGCCTTAGATGTGTAGAGAATTCGGAGAGAAAGGCATGAAGTGCCACACATAGACATAATGCCAAGCTCTAAATAAGTGCAGTTAAGAGGGAAATATGTGAAAAATGACAGAGGGAAAGGAGCACCTACGATTTACTTAGTACCTTTAAGTTGGGGGAGATTTGTTGGACTTGATGTGGGCTGAACTTTAAAGGGGCACTGTGCCAGTCACCAGCCTGGGTATTCTCAAATTTATTCCCCACCACTTCCCTGCTCGGCTCTATATTTCAGGAAACTACATTTCCCAGGCTCCACTGCCCACTGGCTCGTAGTTGAGTTTGGCCAGTGGTAAGCACTGGCAGGATCGGAGAAGACCAGAGCAAGGGGAGAGCCACGCTACCTCTTCTGCTCTCCTCTGCTTGGGCAACATCGCTGGCAGTGGCCCCGTCTCCTCCATGGCTCCGCCTCCTGCCAGACATATCCTCCATGACTTCAGCTTCAGCCTGGTGTTCCTGGCTCCTAGGCTCTGGTAATAGCTGTGTCCTTCCAGCCCAGGGAACGTAGAGGCGTCCTGTTGATGCTAATCTCAAATCTCAGCTCTTCCATTACTCAAACCAATCAACCAGTTGTCATCGAGATGACCCTGACTCACGGTGACCCCATGTGTGTAAGAGCAGAACTGTGCTCCTTAGGGTTTACAATGGCTGTTTTATTTATTCAGTTATTTCCAGAAGTAGATTGCCAGACCTTACTTCCAAAGCGCCTCTGGTAGACTTGAACTTTCAACTTTTCTGTTGGTTGCCCACACAAATGTTTCAATAAAATATAATGACAAAATGGTGCTCAAGGAGAGATGCCAGTTATGTAGGGCAACCACATAAGATTTGGATCCAGCCAAAAAGATTTGCACCCAGTCCACTTATTTTCCATCAGCTATTGGGGCTCTGGGGAATGACTCATCCCTCAGAATAAGAGAGCCAAAAGGTGTCTACTTCTTCCAAATTACATGGTTAAGGACACTTACACTTTTGCATGATAAACTGATATGCTCAAGGTCACATAGCTGGCATAGCTGGAATTCGGAGAACTCCAATTTCCTGAGTCCAGTCCAAAGCTGTTCTTCACTCTGCATCTGAGCCTTTAAGTTTCAGTTCACTGGGTGCAGCTTTGGTCTTTTAGTAACCCCAAGGTTCTGAACAAATTTGGGTTTGTTCCCCACTAATAATTTTAAAATTTGAACTAAAAATCAGCATGCCATTCGTTCCAGAGTAAACATTCTGGAGTGATCTTTAAATAGAATAAAATAATTTAATAAAGAGATATTTTATAGCCAACTGAAATGCAGGTAGAATTCACATAGTAAAATATATTCTACTTTGTTAGAAAAACCTTGAGCCTGTGTTTACTGCATTTTTCATGCAATTAGCCCTTACTAAATCCTACAGATATATCACTTCTCTGTCTAGACTGAACACCAAGGTTTGGGATAAAATAAACACCCTGAAGCACAAGTTTTAGAGACATCATCTGTTTAATAAATAGGATTGTAAAAGCAATAAACAAGAGCCATTATACATGACACTACATAGTATTTAACAAAAAAATACATCAAAAAAGTCATTTTAAAATTAGAAGTAGTTCCAATACTATAAGAAAACTTTCATTTTTTTTTTTTTAAATTGGCCTCCTATAAAAATAAGTTGGCAAATGAGGGATTTCAATGCTCAGTTGGAATCCTGGAAAACACAGAACAGCTGCCAAGCACCCCATTGCTCTCAAAGTTGCTGTTTGGAACTTCTGAAAGAAAGCAAAGTAAACCTCTGCATTTTGGACAGTGAATCCAATTACCAACGGGCAAGGGAGAAAATGTTGGTTGGGTAGTTCAGGGTAGAACATGTATAGTTTGCCTTCTGGGATTTGAGAAAACCTTGCAATATCAGATTTTTAGCTTGCCCTGAATCTTACCTTCCACATACATCTCTCCCCACCCGCCCCTCTGGCCATAAGCCCACCAAATTCCTCACTGTGTTTGCACCTGCTGTTAGGGAGTAGGTAGGCACTTGTGTCCCTCCCATTTGTAGGCTCTCATTACTGTCTTCTCTTTGGAATTGAGCTAGAATGGCCTGGTACAGTGGTTCTCAAACTTTAGTGTGCACATCAGATTCATCTGGAGGGCATGTTAAAACAGATTGCTGGTCTCCACCCTCAGTGCTTCTGATTCAGTAGGTCTGGGGTGGGGACTGAGAATTTGCATTTCCAACATGTTAGAGGTGACACTGATACTACTGGTCTGGGTACCACACTTTGAGAACCACTGGCCTAGGTCATAAGAACAACGAGGTACCCTCTGAGAAGTGCCTTGCCTCACGAATCTCCTGCAGGTGGAATGGAGCTGCGAGGAGAGGCACATGAGGAAACTGGAGATGCAGAACTTACAGTTGTCCATTTCCGGCCACTTTCCAAAGTGCCAGGCATCTCCTGTTCACCTCCATCTTAAATGAGGACTTACGAGTCAATTCTTCTCTCTACCCTTTCACATAAACATTCATCTATTTCTTCAACAAATAATTTTCTTAATACCTACTCTATTAAGCAAGGCACTGTGCTAGATTGAATGTTATTCCCATTTTCTTAATTTCCCAATGAATATTATTTGAACTGCAACTCTGAGGACTCCCTGTGCTATTTTGAGGGAGCCCCTTTTGTCATCCAGATTAAATTTGGGATGCTCCAACTGAAGAGGATCAATGGGAGTGTTTCCTATGGGATAGGAAGCCTGGCAGATTGGGGATCAGTTGAGTTCTACAGGTGGCTGCCCCAGGCGTAATCCATTTCCCAGATTCATACTGGGCGTCCTCAACCATAAAACTTGCTTGATTAACATCTAATAGCAGCTTTGCTACTATTCCCCTGCCTGAGCCACATAAGGGCAGGGGTGGTCAAGATCTTTAGGGTACCCACATTAGTACTAGGTCCTGTTATACCCTGTTTTGACTTGGGTACACAGCCAAGAAGGAGCCTTTGCCTTCCATGTAGTTTGGCAGAACTGCTTTCTCCTATATTTTCGAGTGAGTTCTGGTCTTGCTCAATCTATAATATTAAAGGGCATTTTGCTGGACACACCTTTTGTTTTCTTTTTCTCTAGGCCTTCTTTTATGATCACTGTTGGGAAAACTTTGATTTCTTCATGCTTTGAAGCCAATATACTTTGCTGAAGTCAGCTAACTGCCCTCCTTTGTATTTATCTTCCCTTCACTGATACTATGATACTTCAGGAATCAGACAATATGCATGTGAAATAACTAGGATCATCCTAAATAATCAAAATATCATCCCAATGTAAGATAAGAACCTCCACATATTCACTAAGTCTTTGATACTCTCAGATACTAAATCCATTAACCTGCTTCTCTTTCTGGTTAAAATCAGTTTTATTTCACAAATATTTTCACTCTATTGTGAGAGAGGAAATACTGGGTAACAGCAATCATCACAGGAGGAAGTTGCCCTGCAACACAGTAACATGTTCCAAACATCTCTTGCAAGAATCTTCTGGAATCTGACTGCATGAGAATTTTGTTAAGGTGTTGAGAACACCTCTATTCATTTACGTGCTTTCTTTTGCAATGTACACGACCAGATCTGAATTCCTTCGCATATAACAACTCTTTCGCACATTTGGTATGTTTCCAGGAGGGAAAAGGCAGGGATATTTGAATGGGGCAGGTTCTAGAGGAGGAAACAAGGGACGCATGGAGCTGAACCCTGTCGGGCAGGTTGCAGCTTGGTCAGTGTGCATGGAAGCTGGCATGCTTGCAAGTGTACAAGGCAGAGAAAGAGATGGGGAACTGGTGAGAAAGCAGGGGGAGGATTGGTGGAGGCTAGGCCAGTATTTATGAAATGTCAGAATTAATGTTTAGAATTTAGCAACATGTTTGGGGAAGAAAATGTGGGAGCAGTTGGATAATTTGGGGATTGGAAGAAAGAGATTTAAAGACATCAACAGGTCATGACCACACATGGATGGCAATCAAATGGAACAGCAAGACAATAAGTAATGGGATTCCATTTTCTACATAAGTTGGGGAAGGAGTAGGGAAAACTGCAAGGGGAAGCAGCCACGTTGGGAAGAGATGAGAAGGTAGCAAAGGTCCATTTCTGACATGATTGCCTCCCTGCCTGCCTTCCTTCCTTCCCTGTTCTACCTGCAGACATGGATTTCCACCTCGCTTCTTTGTCCCTGTGGCAGCACAAAATGGAGAAAGTAGCCTGTGGCCACTCCTGACCAACAGAGCTACCCAAGTCAACTTAGAAGGGAAATGGCAATAAGGAAACTGGACCAGAGAAACAGCTCAGGGTTTCAAACTCCTGTGCATGTCTTTGTGTCTTATGAAATGGGCTGGGTGGCTAATCCACCCATCAGCCGATAGTGCTAAAATAGCTGTTCAATCTACAGCCAAGAATACTTCCAAAAATACATGCAGATTTCCTTGGCCTATATATGTTATGAATTTTCTACAAACACGACCGATCAGAAAAAAGGAGAGAGAAGAAGAAAGGGCGAGGGGAGTGTTTTCCATTAAAATAGAGCACCTGTACACTGCCCCTCTGAACATGTTCCCAAGTTATTGTCCACATGCACAGGCTTAAAGCTAAAAACCCTTGTTGTCTGTGTCTGAAGAATTAAAAAGTCCCGATGCAGTGAGTGTTTGTTTGTTTTTGGATTTTGATTGTTTTTGTTAAAATTTTTTTTATTTTTTATTTTTTACTGGCGTCCTCCATTCAAACATTTACATAGGTAGGGATTTCTTTTGTGCTTTGATTCTCAGCAACTATGGAAATACTTCCTGGCAAAATAGGAAACAGAACAACAAAGGAAAGAAAAAAACAAAACAAAACATAATGTTAGTGGTCATGAAGGATGATGCACTTGACAAGCGCGAAATTCTCTCCTGATCAGCAGGTCGCCTGTAGCCTCTGGGGGCTTTCCTTAAATTGCAAAGTGTGCCCCAGCAGATCCCCGCTTTGGCGTTGAAGGTGGAGTGGTGTGTCTCGCTCTTTGCAATCGGAGAGATGAGTCACCCGGTTGAGTAGAAGGGGAGGGAGGGGAGGGTAAAGCTACTCTCCTAAGAGAAAACGTGTAACACTTACTCATTTAATGACACTGGAAATGGAAAGGTGTCAGAGACTTTGCAGTGTGCTGCGAGATGTTCCTGGTGAAGCAGGGATTGCTACATTAATCAAGTCAACAGCGGCTGTGCTTCATACCCCGTGGAAATGGGACTGAGAACCAAATGACCCAAAAAGATGCACTTAAAAGCTTTAGAAGTGAATAGCCAGGGTGAACGCTTCTCTGGACTCAAAGACAGAAAAGACTTTTGCTTTCTAACCCGAAGCAATTATGCATTTATCACTCTGTCTCTCCAAATAAAAGAAAGCACGCTGCAAAAATCGGACACCGGATGTGGCTGCAGGTGTTATTATTACCTACGATATGAGCCAGTCATTGCATTTAAATTTCCCCTTAATACAGCCACAGACCTTTCCCACACCCATTTAAAGAGAGGGTTATGTTTCCATTTAGGTACTCATTCTTCCCCCAAGTAACAGACAAAAATCTTATGTAAGGGCCTTCTAGGTGGTTGGCATTATCACATCAGAGTGAAGCCTAAATGGTTATACATAAATCTATCACTGTAGCCGGCAATGCAGGGTCTGGATGGGAACATTTACAGCTTCAACTCCTGATGCCAACAGACAGAAGGAAACAAAGACAGAAACTGATCAGCAAAGGTGGCTCCCATGGATTTGTCTAACTTTCTGCAAAGTTTCCCCTGTAATGAAGAGTAGGACTTGGCAATTAAACCTCAGACTCTCCATACCTAGTTGTTGGATTCCCATGCTTACTTCGCAGGCAGAGAGTGAGCACTATTGAAACAGGAAGGCCATTTTTAGACTTCTGATATGGGATGGGCAAAAAAGAAGAAAACATTGGCCAGTCTGCCCTGTAACAGGCTGACCTTCCAATGGTCACTCTCAGGGTGTCTTACTCCCTGGGTGTTCTGCAAACTTTATGTCTCCTGTGCTCAAATCTCAGGTTCCATGTTCCCAGGGGGACAGTTTCTAGATTATCCTAGATTAAAAAAAGAAATTTCTGAGGATCATCAGGCTGGCCACTCTCGTAACATCACTTCTCAACCGGGTCCTAGGGCAATGTGCCCTTCGTAGAACTGTCTCAAGTTGTGGCCGCCATGTCTCCTTTCTGAGCAGTACAAACCTATCCCTCACACCCTGCCCGACCCTCCAGTCCACCAGCCCCAGCCTCTAAGGCCTCTCCTTCTTACATATTTTTAGAGTAAATGTACTGCTCTTTGCCAATGAACATTCAAAACTCAGTATTTTAACAAGGGTTTTTGCAAAAGGAAGAATAAACTAATGAGATAGGAGCAAGAAGGGTTTTTGTTTTGTTTTGTTTTGTTTTTCTTTCCAGTGGAAGGAAGCAGGGAAAGAGGCATCTTAGCAGTTTCTCTCACGGGTGTTAGAGCAGAAGAAAGTGGTTACGTTAAGCCAGAAAGGGGTTAGAGAGAGATTCAGCCAGTGACTACTGAGGCTGAACAGCTTATGGCTACTGGGAATCATTTACCTATGAGCTGGGATTCCACCTTCTCATCTAAGAGCTGGCCAGGCCTCCTTAGTTCAGTCTGAGGGGTATTGGGCCTGCTTTCAGTGTGACTGACTGGACTGATCATCTCTTGTTCTTTCTCATTCTGCATCTGGGCATAAACATTAATGCCCGGGATCTTCCTAAAACATTAACAGAAACCGTCACTATGGTGCACAGAAGAGCCACGTCACAGCAACCCGTGCTTCTGCACCTGTCAGGGAGTGGGAGGGGAGCCATGGGTGAAGGGGGGGGAGGCACGCACCTTTTGAACTTGTAGATGACGAACACTGCCAGCCCCACAAACACCACCGAGAGCAGCATCAGCATGGCTGAGCCACTGTGGGTTGGAGTGAGGTCCACCAGCGGGGCTAGGAGAGAAAACAAGGCATGGTCATGAGCAGAGACTCTGGCAGAGGAGACTCTAGGAGGGGCCCACACTGCTCACACACAGGCATGGTGAGTCCCAGGGAACTGCCTGGGGATGTACACACAAGATCACGTCACACAGGGGATGCGTACATACACCCAAGCCCATCCCAGTCCCTGGAATGCTCCAGCACACTTTTCAAGCAGTACAGTGGAGCTATTGAAGCACAGACCTTGGAGCCAGACTGAGTGGATTCAAGCCTTGCTCTACCACTTCCTGGCTGTGGGACCCCAGGCATGTTACTTGACCATAACTCGTTGCCATCGAGTCAATTCCAGCTCATAGCGACCCTATAGAACAGAGTAGAACTGCCCCATAGGGTTTCCAAGCTGTAAATCTTTATGGAAGCAGACTGCCATATCTTCCTCCCACTGAGTGGCCGGTGGGTTCGAATCCCTGACCTTCTGGTTAGAAGCCAAGCATCTAAACACTGCGCTGCCAGGGCTCCTTACTTGACCATCATGTGCCTTAATGTGGTGCAATGAGCATAATAATAGCATCTACCTCACTGGTTTGTTATGAGGATTAAATGGGGTAATGTATGTGAAACAATGAGAACAGCACTCAGCTGCTCACCAGAAAGATTGGAACTCACTAGCCACTCCATGGGAGAAAGATCTTCTGTAAAGATTTTAGCCTTGGAAATCCTGTGGGACAGTTCTACCCCGTCCTATAGCGTTGCTATAAGTCGGAATGGACTCGATGACAATGGGTTTATAAGTATTAGCTTTTATTGTTACTGCTTCTATTATTGGAGCCCTGGTGGTACAGCGGTTAAGAGCTTGGCTATTATTAATCAACATTTACAGTAGTATTTATTTATATTAATAATATGTACTATATATTTATAAATTTAATATTTATAAAAATAATACTTATATTTATAATATTTATTTATAATAATAATATAGTGCTTAGTATTAAATGTTCCCATACTCTGAAGGCAAACTTTTGCCACTAAGTAAGGCAGATAATCAGTAAAACTACCATTGAGAATTTTTTTTACGAATTCTTATCCATCCTCCCTCACTATTACCCCAGCAGTCCTCACAGGAGAGAAACAACTGCAGAGTGATAGAACTCGTTTTTCTTTGCACACAGGAAACAAATGGCTACGTGAATACTTTAAAAGGGAAGTTGCCGCTGTGATGCTGGAGGGGTGTGTGTAACCGGGGTTGTCTCTGGGCTCCTTGCCAGCAAGCCCCGACCTCTCGGATACAGGGCGCTGTCCTCAGTGAGCTCCCATCAACTCAGTCTCCCTCCCTGAGTTTCCCCTTAGAATGCAGCTCTGGAGAATCTCTCTCTCCACCTCCAAACCTTCCCCATATCAGGGTCAAACCTGTTGTACTTGTAATGACTTTGTTTGCAATTAATTTCCACCCTCTTGAAAACTGACATTTTGCAAATACAGCATAGCTCAAGAATAAAAGACCAGCCACATGTACCTCTTGGAAGCCTGGGTGCTGACCTTTACCTTCCATCAGTTTAAGCAAAGCCCGATACCCAGAGATGTGGGTGACCTTTGAGTACCATTTCCTGTGGCTTTTCTTTGCTGAGAGCTGAGAAGGCAACGTTCTGGAAACCCAGGTACAAAAGTTCAAGAATAAGTGACTCTAATACTGATGGTCTCAGACAAGACTCGCAGCAGCTTCTGCTCTGTCTGGCTTTTGGAGGATTACATCCCACTCGATCACTGCTACTGGGAAGCATATTCCATATAACCATACACATTTGGTGGAAAACAAAAATCAAGCCTTCTTTTTCAGAAAATAGGCTTAGTCATTTTAGTTGAATCGGCTTTCGGAAGGCGCTGAAATTAAAGACCCGCTGCTCTTCTCTCTCCCCTGTAAGCCAAGCAGCGCTTAAGCTGTGAAGTGCAAGTGTGGGAATCTGTGCGTGAGACGAGCGTGTGGCTCCACTGCAGTGGGGTACCCAAGGCAAACTTGCTTGCCGTCAAAATTACAAACTAAAGGTCGATTTCACATACTTAGGCAAACACAACACCATCGGCAAAGGAATCCAGAAGTACTTCACAACTCATTCATATTGTATTTGGTAAGATGTCGTCAGGGGGAAAGAGAACATCTTCCATTTGTCACAGGCTTTATTGCAATTGATTTTCACAAATGTAAGGCAGGGACTATGAACCCCATCGAACAGATACAAACAGTGAAGTCCTGATCAGTTAATGACATTCTAAAGGTCTCAGAACTAATAAACAGAAGAACTAGGACTTCAGTCCAAATCATTGTTCTCTCTCTCTCTCTCTCTCACACACACACACACACATTTTCTGCAAACTTAATCCTGGGCTAATTTTGGTGGGAGATACCCATATTTCTAAAATAATTTCTAAGATTGGGATTAGGACTAAGGCAAGAAAGCAAATTAACAAGTGACACAAGTTAAACTATTAAGTTTTAAAAGGAGCAGTTAGAATCAGAATCATGAATAATATACTCTTAAGCTTGGATGATGTGTATACACAATATATGTGTGTGTATATATACAATATACAGATGTGAAGAAAACTAGAGAAATGGACCCTTATGCACCCATCATTCAGTTTCAACAACCATCAACTCATGGCCAATTTTATTTTACCTCTACCCCCACTCAATCTCTCTAGTCTCCAGCCACTAACACTGGACTATTTTGGAGCAAATACTACAAATCATATCATTTCATCAGTAACTTAATAGGTAAGGTATCTCATTCTTAACATTATTATAATACCATTATCACACCCAAATAATAAAAAAGAAATACATTTTGAAGGTCATCTTCTAACGTAAACCCTTAATTTGACAGGGAGCAAACAGACTCAGAGAGATTTGGTCAGAGACAGGAATAAAGCTAAACACCTAATTATTAACTAAATGTTCTTTCAGAATACCAGCGCTACAGAGAAACCAAGAATACTGAGCTTGCTCAAAAGGGCTGGCATTTGAAATAAATGGAAAAACTAAAAGAGAGGAAATTGCAGTGGCCAGGCTCTTAGTAACATGGAAAGCAACCCCCACCCCCCACCACCCATACACCAACCTCCGATCCTCCCACCCACACAAAAGGACTCTTTCCCTTCTCTTCCCCTCTTTCTTTCCTCTCTCTCGCCATCACAAGGAAAACTTGTCTTTCATTTCTAAATCATTCACACTTGAATCACCATTCCTAAACAAGCAGCGTTAACACTGTTAAGTAATTAGCATAATATTTTGGGAAAATAAGCTTCTGTATCCCAAGCTCCAAATGTGTGTTATCCGTCCCCCCTCCCCAGCTTTTCATCTTTCAGTCACTTCTCAGAGTTGGGCCAGCAGGCAGGCAGGAAGCAGCAAGCAGGCAGGGGCAAGAGATTGAGCAACACTGCCCTCTGTGTCCCTTAGGTGGCTTCGGCTTGTGATCTGCACCCGAGTATAAACGGACCTATTATTGCTCCACACAACAGCAGCTGCATATCTTAGTTTGCCCAACATTTAGGTGTGTCTGTGTGTGTTTTGCTGAGGAATGGAAACTTGTGATAAATGGGCTTTCGCTTGTTGTATGGAATTAGCATAAATTAATCCCTCTCCAGTTTCAGCCTAAACAAGGTAGATGCACAGGGAAAAGTGCTGAGCAGTTTATTTGTCATTATTCATGCACAGAGGAAAACACAAATATAAGCAGTACTCCAGGTGACTCAATGTTTCGAATCCTGGGCCCTGGTACGCACAGTTTCTAAAATCTTCTGAGAAACTCAGAAATGCATAGAATTATTGCATTCTCTTCATGATTATAATAATTGCAATGGTTACAGTAATAATAGTAGCCCGTTTGTGAAAAGTATCTGACACGTTGTTGTTAATTGCCAGTTGTTGTTGTTAGTTGCCATTGAGTCATCAAAACTCATTGCCTTCAAGTCGATTTCGACTCATAGCGACCCCATAGGACCGAGTAGAACTGCCCCATAAGGTTTCCAAGGAGAGGCTGGTGGATTGGAACTGCTGAACTTTTGGTTAGCAGCTGAACGCTTAACCACTGCGGGCTCAGAAGTTGTATGTATGGGCCAGTAAACATCATGATAAATGGAGAAAAAAATGTAATTTGTCAACAACTTCATTCTCTTTGCATCAAAAATCAAATGTCCATGGAAGCAGCAGTCAAGAAATCAAATGACATATTTGAGTGGGTAAATCTGTTGCAGAAGACCTCTAATGTTTTAAACAGCAAAGATGTCACTTTGATGACTAAGGTGCACCTTACCCAGACCATGGTCTTTTCATTCGTCTCAGATGCATGTGAAAGCTGACAATATTTTTTTAAAAAAGACAGAAAAATAATTGATGCATTCAAAGTATGGTGTTGGTGAAGAATATTGAATATAGTGTGGACTGCCAAAAGAATGAACAAATCAGACTTAGAAGAAACAGACTCAGGATGCTCCTTAGAAGTGAGTATAGCGAGACTTCCACTTGCTTGCTTTGGACACATCATCGGGAAAGACTAATTGCTAGAAAAAAGACGTCATATTTGGTAACGTAGAGGGCCAACAAAAATGAGAGAAACCCTCAATGAGACAAGCTGACACAACAGCCACAACAATGGACTAAACAATACTAATGATAATAAAGATGGTGCTAGACCAGGCAACATTTTGTCCCGGTATACGTAAGGTTGCCATGAGTCAGAGCTGACGCGATGGCAACTAACAACAGGTTGTGTGTATGACAGTAACTTTAAAATCTATGTTTGGGGTTAAGTAACTGATATGGTCTCATTTTAGGATCAGATCCTGACTGTGTCATTTATGGGATAAGTGACTTAAACTGAACATCAATTTCCTCATCTGCAAAATGGAGATAAAGCTAGTGCTTGTCTTAGAAAGTTGTCAAAATACGCAGCGTTCCGATCTTGAAGATTCACAGGCATGTTAGTACACTATAGGTTTACAGAAGTTCTGCAGGA